TGTTGCGAATGCCTCCAGAAAGGAAGGCTAAGCAACTGTTCCTTGCAAATCCAACCGGCAAAAGGCCCAGAGGACGGCCAAGATTAACCTGGTGCAAGCATATGGAAGGAGTCTGTTCCAGACTGCATTTGTCTTTTGCCGAAGTTCAGACTCTGGCACTGGATCGAGAATGTTGGAAGCTCTCTCTGACGTGTCTGCCTCCGTGACTCAAATGGAGAAGCGGCCGTGGAAAATGAAGTTGATTCTATCCTCTGTGTTAATCCGTCAAGGAATAAAATGAGTTAATACTAATGTTTCTTTTATGAGACTTTGTTGTATGACAGTCTGTTGTTGCTGTGGTCGTTACTTGTTTTGTGTCATTAGCGTCGTTGGTACAGACTTCAGTTTTTGGGAGGCCTTTTCATGGAATTGCTCATTCTTTCGATCAACAAAACTTTTAGCACAATCCTTTCAAAAATGCTGCTGATGTTGCGGTGAATCTTGCTCTGGCGAAGTTATTGCTATGATCTGTGGTGATGTGATTGAGCGCAAACTCTGGATTTATTTCCCGCATTCACAGAATAGTTGTTGGTTCACGATTTGATTTTGTAAGTGATTTATTATGAGCATTTTTAAACGATTCTTGCTGGACACTCTCACGATATGAAGAATGGATGATGCCGCAACAGTGATTATGCATGAGAAATGCACAAATTCTAGACAAACCTCATGACGTTCCTTGAAAGGTCCAAGAAATTAAGGAATTATTACGTTCAAGAGATGGCTGTGTCAACTGTGTCAATTACAGAAGACAAATGACAGAATGGAGGTGACAGCGCACCGTAAAGATTTGATTGGTACAAGCTCTTTACATGTGCATGCGCACCAGTGCACACAGCGAAAATTTAGAGTCAGCAGTTTTGGGGAGGAAGATGTCTGGCAGGTCCAGACGAAATTTGATTCCAAAGTGTGACGTCGTTTGCTGTAATAGGATAATACAGGGTTTTTGTTATGCTCTAATAAATTGTTTTTGGGCCGTGTATGACGCTTTTACCATTGACACTGGTGTGATCGACAAACCTCTTAGCAGGCCTATGCCATCGGTTCGACTTGGTTCAAGTCCTTAATCTGACCTGAGCCATAGCTAATTGTACAATCAACGATTCGGATTTAGGATGCTGAGAGAAGTTGATAGCCACCAAGTTTTAAATATTATCAATGAAAAAGGAATGAGATCTTGCTTAGGACAAAGGAAAAGTCTTACTTTTCTTTTGGAGAGGCACAATCTCTGTGGAAAACTTTTAACTTAATTTAAAATAGAGCGATTGCTAACTAATTATAATCCTTTTTTCAACATTGATAATTATTTGAGAATTTCAACATGTATGATGATTTGTTTAGCATAAAAGCTTCAGAATCAATCGAAAACACATGTCCATAGTACATCCAGTGAAGTTTACAAGTAGTGGCTTTGCAGTAATCATTATAGAAGCAATTGTGACTTAGGAGTTCTATTACAAGAACTGGTTTAACTTTTGCGCTGGTTATGCAACACCCAAGTAATCTTATTCACACAGGTACCTCGTAAGACGAACAGTCAGAATGATTAATGGCTACAATTACATTTCTTGTCAATTGTAGCGCCTCAACGGTCCTACAAGTTCCCAGGTTTTGTAACTGCGTTCTGCCATCGACAGCGCTGATTCTGAAATATATGCTATATTTAGCATCAGGTGTGACTGAGGAATTTTTTTTATTATCAAAGTTCCTGTACGGATCACATCATACAGAAGGATTTCTGAGACACACATGCGATGAGCACAAAATTATCCGGGCCAATTCAGAAGCCTTTGTACCCTCGAGAAAGGACGTTCAGTTATTCTGTAAGTAGATGGAGTGAAAGTGCAACAGTTAGATGAGTCCAAGTGTCTTAAGGTAACATTCACGACAGGTAAGAGGTAGGCTGTGGAATTTTACGGATACGACGAGGCGAACGCAAAAATGCGCAGCTGCCTGTTTTGAAATCTGTACTTGCACCATGTATGTTAGGCAAATGAATGCGATTCCAGAAGAAAAGTGCGGAAGTGAAGCTTCCTGAAGGATTGGCGGTGCGATGACGCTCCACGAGGTTCCGCACAGGAACATTCAAAAAACGTTCACTCATTAGAGGCATTTTCTAGATGGTCCGTGCTTGCACGATAAAGTCACAAAAAAGACGCTCTAGGCGGAGTCTCTCGGTTAAGTGTGAAAGCAAACTCTCATGGTGCTGGTCATGGTGCTGCTTACAAGAGGGCATAACCATTTAGAGGACCAATCATAGTGCCACCTTAGAGTCCAGCCCATGTAACATACTGTAGGTGTTGCACAGCAGCGGGACCATTCGATAGGCCTTCTGAAGAAACAGCCAGCACAATTTGATAATAATAGCGGCCATTGGGGATAAATGAATTCGCCATTTCAGTTCATTTTGTGAGCTCACTGGCGATCCGGAGACGATTGTGGTAAAAGGAAACCAAGAAGGCCAACTAAGCAAATGAAGAAAATAATGAAATAAATTGGGGTAAAAATTGCTTTTCAAAAGAAATATCCAACAAATTAAAGTATAGGTGCAAAATAACAAAAGTTTCATAATGGTTATTCGAAAAGTAAATTTACTAATTATAATAAGCATACAACAATTTCCCTGCGAGATTCTGAGTACAAAGTTACATTTCCTTCAGACTGCTTCCTTCAAGTGTGTGCTGCATAAGAAACTAGCGCTAGGAAATTTATACAGGATGGCTTAGAGAATTTTGATCGTTACAAGTGATGGTATAGCACAGATAATTTAAGCCATTATTTTTTATATATGATTAGCGGGAGGACTCAGCAGATGAGCTGAATGCACTGGAGTTGGAAAAGAAGTCGACGGCTTGTGATTCTGAGAATAGATCCTTTAACTGTAAGAACTTCATGTCTCTGCTGTTTCGTTTCAGCTCCTCAAATTATGATTTAGTATGGATGCATGTAGGTCATGAAAATGATATAGAACCATTGTTTGGTTGAGATATGCGGATTATATTGGATGTTGCTCTTCACAGTTTTCAACAGGGTTTCAAGGATATATGTAATATAACAAAAAGAAAAATAAAGTAACAGATGAAAAAAATAATGTAACCGATGAAGTTATCTATATGCATAGTTTTGGAAATTAAGCATCGAATTAACTACAGATGTCCCGAGTCTTCTAAGGCAACGCTCTCATTTAGTGGGCACAGGTTATTAATAGACGTCTGAGAACATTTTGGCAAATCTGCATAAGATTTTGTGTGATGAACCTCCCGTTCGTAAAATTTGATTGGTGCAATAATACTTTCGGAAGATGAAATAGTTAACCGATTACAAGAATCTAAAAATACAACTTGAATTCTATTAGTTTATTCCGTCGGTTATTCTATTGCTTCTGTAGGTGATACTGTTTCTAAGAAGATAGGTAGCAAACCACAGTTGTCGATGACCTTCTGTGTATAGGTCAGCGTTTTGTGCAGGCTATAACTACTAGGTCCACATGTAGGTCGAACATGGCCAATGCATCCGCGAACCACTTGTAACAAACAGCATGGCTACTCCTGTCGTTTGTCTAACGGCGACGACACTACATTGCTATTCTTCATTGTCTGACTTGCTATTGGCCACTCCTCTGCCGACAGGGATGCACGGTAGGAATCGTCAAAGAATTGATTATTAATAAGTGAAGGCTTTGCCGCGTTCAGACTGCATCGGACATTGCTGCTATGCAAACCGTCATTATTATCAGCGTCCCGCTCTCCCCAACACATACATGCGCTGAAATTGTCAGCGCATAACATTATCATATTACTGAGCCTTTAGGGAGAAACCTACGCAAAGCTGTCAGAAATAAGGTACCCCGGAATAGCGTGTTCCAAGATCCAAGAAGGGAAGTGCGACTTTCGCTCTTGTGAGAAATATTTGATCCAATCTTTGCCCTACACCAGATTGTTAAGAAATCCTGGCCATCCGCTTATCCAGTTAGCATGTGTTTCGTTAATCTGGATAAAGTCCATGACCGAATCCTGCATAATAAGCAACATGCGTGCTCGTAAGCGTATGAGATCAGTGGCCAGTTGTTATGAGTCGTCACAACATGTTGACAGCGGATTCTGG